GAACGTCGCATCAGAAAATACAGTACAAGTATACCAATTATTCTCGCAAACTTCATATCCTATCGCGTTGTTTGTGTTTCAAGTTAACTTAATTTTTTTTTAAGTGTAGGCCTACAGTTTTTTTTTTTGAATATTTTAAAATCCTTAAGTTAAATTTTTTTTAAAGTTTTTTTAAAATTATTGTTTCATTGGATTAATTCACAAGTTGATCTAGCTCAATTTTTGGGGCCCTTTTTATGCCCCTCTTGGCCACACCCTCCACAATGGGCCCATTTTCCTACGGGCACATAGACCATTACTACACACAAACATTGGTTAATTTCCAGCTATTCTGACACCCCTGAGCTCCTGCTCTAAGTGTCATTCCTGAGATGAAGATTCAAATGTGTTTTATAGACAGCTCCAATACCACCACCACTATCGACAGTGGTGAGAATCAGGCCCGTATCCAGCTTTTTGAATGTGGGTGGGGGTGCGTTTTGCGAGCGCAGCGAGCAACCAGGCTGGGGGCCAGGGGGCCGCCCACGGCCCCTGGTCTGAAAAATTTGCTTTCTTACGTCCTAGCAGACTAATTTGAAGGCATTTTATCATGTTAATCTCTATATGACCGTGAACACAGCGATAGGGCCTATCAAAAAATTACCAGTGTAGGACATGGAGAAACAAGCAAATTGTTTAACAAATGAAAAATACTACTGTATAAATTCGTAACCATTACGAATAAAAATTCAAAATCAATTCTGCTTTTAAATGAATAATAGCAAAGTTTGATATAAAGAGTGGATTAAAAACGACTGTAAATGAGCTTATTCAAACAACTAGAAGCATTTGAAACAAATAATCAACATTTTTATTCTTGGCATCGACAGGAAACATATACAGAGGTATAAGCATAATTATACTGTATGTATACGCTATCTATCCATTGAACCCGTGACGGGGTATACTGTATTAAAAAGATCATCATGATACGAGTAACGTTGTACGTTTTAATAGCAACATCACTTACATTTTTTATAAGAGCACATTTTATAAGAAGAATGAGGCTGTCGAAATTGCGGAAAAATTAAGAACAAAATAAGAATAAATTAAGGCTAAGTAGTTAAAATGCAA